CCACATAGGCTAGAATCCTGTCAACAGGTGTCCTAGAAGCAGATTCTTTCCTAGCACCTCCAGAAGGAAACTGACCCTGCCAACACCTGGCCTTAGCCTTGTGGAATTCTAAGCAGAAGAACCAGCCATGCGGGAGCTGGATCCTGACCCACAGAAATGCGAAATAATAAATTTGTGTTCTTTTAAGCAACTCTCTTTGTGGGGATATGCCAGCCACCGCAGCAATAGGGGACGGCGTGTATTTAACACTGCACTTCACCATACGAACAGAAGAGTGTGCTATCGACTGAGCAAACCTAGCCAGCAGCCCAAACCTTCACCTCTGCTTCCAGCTGGTACCGAAAGTGCAGAAAACACAAGACATTGTGAAATAAACAGAAAAGAGCAGAGGCAGCTAATCAAAGTTACTATGAGAAACAGAAAATGAAAATCAAAGCATTTCAGAAGAAGAAAATCCCCCCCCCAGAGCACAAGCACGCAGAACCAAAATGTAACCCAGCATCCCAACGTTCACAAAATCGCCTTAAATTCACATAGGGAAATTTCAAGTCAGCAATCCAAACACTTAAAGTGGAAATGGACGAAAAAGTGAAGAAGATATAAAATGAGACATTAACCGAACTCCAGAAAGAATTTAAAAAGTTTACAAATTAAAGAAAAATTACAAGCTATCCTGGGAAGAACAGATTTGGCTGAAAACATAAAAAGGGTATTGAGAAAAACCATGAGGGGCACCTGGATGGCTCAGTCAGTTAAGGGTACGACTTCAGCTCAGCTGACGATCTCACGGTTCATGAGTTCAAGCCCCTCAAGGGGTTCTGCGCAGACAGTGTGGAGCCTGCTTGGGATTCGCTCTCTCTCTCTCTCTCTCCCCCTCTCTCCCTCCCTCCCTCCCTCTCTCTCTCTCTCTCAAAATAAATAAATAAACTTAAAAGAAAAAGCATGAAAATAGCCAAGAAAATTTAAAAACTACAGAGGTTCAAAGAGAAAAGCATCAGCTTCCACTTTGGCGAGATCGTTTGGTTGGTGGTGTGGGTGGGGATGAGGGTTAGCCGAGGGGGACGTGATGGGGCCCAGGGTGCCCGAGGGCCCTCCGAGGGAAGCAGGTGCCAACTCGTCCTCCTCTGTCTTGTCCTCACTCCCTGCGCTCAGTCCATTCACCTCCTTTCTGCTCCTGGAGCCACTGACGTTCTCGGCACTGGCCCCTCTCTCGGCCTGGAAGCCTCTTCGTTCAGGTCACGACATACGGCAGGGCCCGGCCTTTCTTAATGCTCAGGTCCCACCTCAGAAGTCACCGCCTCCGTGAGAACCTCCCTGCCCCCCACCCAAGGTGGCCCCAGGAACTTCTGGGGTTCTCTTAATGCTCAGTTCCTTGATGAGGGTGCTGGGTTCATGGGTGCATTCACTTTGCGGAAATGAATTATGTTGCACATTTGTGATTTGTATGTTTATACTTCAATCAAAACGAAAAGAAAAAGGAGCGGTGTGGGTGGCTCGGTTAGTTAAGCGTCCGACTCTTGGTTTCAGCTCAGGTCATGATCTCACGGTTTGTGAGTTCGAGCCCTGCATTGGGCTCTGTGCTGAAAATCCGGAGCCTGCTTGGGATTCTCTCTCTGCCTCTCTCTCTGCCCCTCCCTCCCTTGCTCTCTCTCTCTGTCTTAAAATAAATAAAAAACCTTTTTGGGGCGCCTGGGTGGCTCAGTCGGTTAAGTGTCCGACTTCAGCTCAGGTCATGATCTCACAGTTTGTGAGTTCGAGCCCCGCGTAGGGCTCTGTGCTGACCGCTCAGAGCCTGGAGCCTGCTTCTGATTCTGTGTCTCCCTCTCTCTGCTCCTCCCCTGCTCATGCTGTGTGTCTCTCTCTCTTCTTCGAAAATAAATAAAAACATTAAAAAAAAAAAAAAAACAAAAACCTTTTTGCAGCAGAACTCCACAGAAACTTGGCCGGCCAGAAAGGAGGGGCAGGATATATTCAATGTGCTGAATCAGAAAAATATGCAGCCAAGAATTCTTTTTTTTTTTTTAATTTTTTTTTAACGTTTATTTATTTTCGAGACAGAGAGAGACAGAGCATGAATGGGGGAGTATCAGAGAGAGAGGGAGACACAGAATCCGAAACAGGCTCCAGGCTCTGAGCGGTCAGCACAGAGCCCGACGCGGGACTCGAACTCACGGACCGCGAGATCATGACCTGAGCTGAAGTCGGACGCTTAACCGACTGAGCCACCCAGGCGCCCCAGCCAAGAATTCTTTATCCAGCAAGGCTGTCACTCAAAATAGAAGGAGAGACAAAAAGTTTCCCAGGCAAACAAAAATTAAAGGAGTTTGTGACCACTAAACCACCCCTACAAGAAATTTTAAGGGGGACTCTCTGAGGGGAGAAAAGATGAAAATATAAATAAATAAGTAAGTAAATAAATAAATAAATACCAAAAGCAACAAAGATTAGAAAGGACCAGAGAACACCACCAGAAACTCCAACTCTACAAGCATCACAATGGCAATAAATTCATATCTTTTAGTACTCACTCTAAACGTCAATGGACTCAATGCTCCCATCAAAAGATATAGGGTAACAGAATGGATAAGAAAACAAGATCCATCTATATGCTGTTTACAAGAGACCCACTTTAGACCTAAAGACATCTTCAGATTGAAAGTCAGGGGATGGAGAACCATCTATCATGCTAATGGTCAACAAAAGAAAGCCGGAGTAGCCATACTTATATCAGACAATCTAGACTTTAAAATAAAGACTGTGTCAAGAGATGCAGAAGGGCATTATATCATAATCAAGGGGTCTATAGACCAAGAAGACCTACCAACTGTAAACATTTACGCGCCAAATGTGAAAGCACCCAAATATATAAATCAATCACAAACATAAAGAAACTCATCGATAGTAATACCATAATAGTAGGGCACTTCAACACCCCACTCACAGCAATGGACAGATCATCTAAGCAGAAAATCAACAAGGAAACAATGGCTTTGAATGACACACTGGACCAGATGGACTTAACAGATATATTCAGAACATTTCATCCTAAAGCAGCAGAATATACATTCTTCTCCAGTGCACATGGAACATTCTCCAGAATAGACCACATACTGGGCTACAAATCAGCCCTCAGCAAGCACAAAAAGGTCGAGTTCATACCGTGCATATTTTCAGACCACAATGCTATGAAACTGGAAATCAACCACAGCAAAAAAAATTGAAAAGGTAACAAATACTTGGAGACTGAAGAACATCCTACTAATGAATGAAGTTAAAGAGGAAATTTAAAAGTATATGGAAGCCAATGAAAATGATAACACCACAACCCAAAACTTCTGGGACGCAGCAAAGGCGGTCATAAGAGGAAAGTGTATAGCAATCCAGGACTTCCTAAAGAAGGAAGAAAGACCTCAGATACACAACCTAACCTTACGCCTTAATGAGCTGGAATAAGAACAGCAAATAAAACCCAAAACCAGCAGAAGACAGGAAATAATAAAGATTACAGCAGAAATTAATGCTATCGAAACCAAAAAAACAATAGAACAGATCAATGAAACGAGAAGTTGGCTCTTTGGAAGAATTAACAAAATTGATAAACCCCTAGCCGGTCTGATCAAAAAGAAAAAGGAAAGGACCCAAATAAATAAAATCAAGAATGAAACAGGAGAGATCACAACCAACACAGCACAAATAAAAACAATAATAAGAGAATATTATGAGCAATTATATGCCAATAAAATGGGCAATCTGGAAGAAATGGACAAATTCCTAGAAACATATACACTACCAAAACTGAAACAGGAAGAAATAGAAAATTTGAACAGACCCATAACCAGTAAGGAAATCAAATTCACAATCAAAAATCTTCCAAAAAACAAGAGTCCAGGGCCAGATGGCTTTCCAGGGGAATTCTACCAAACATTCAAGGAAGAGTTAACACCTATTCTCTTGAAGCTGTTCCAAAAAATAGAAAAGGAAGGGAAACTTCCAAACTCATTCTATGAAGCCAGCATTACGTTGATTCCAAAGCCAGACAGAGACTCCACGAAAAAGAACTATAGACCAATTTCCCTGATGAACATGGATGCAAAAATCCTCAACAAGATATTAGCCAACCGGATCCAAGAATACATTAAAAAAAATTATTCACCACGACCAAGTGGGGTTTACGCCTGGGACACAGGGCTGGTTCAATATCCGCAAAACAATTAATGTGATTCATCACATCAATAAAAGAAAGGACAAGAACCATATTATCCTCTCAATAGATGCAGATAAAGCATTTGACAAGATGTAGCATCCTTTCTTGATAAAAATCCTCAAGAAAGTAGGGATAGAAGGATCATACCTTGAGATCATAAAAGCCGTAAATGAATGACCCCACGCTAATATCATCGTCAATGGGGAAAAACTGAGCTTTCCCCCCAAGGTCAGGAAGAAGACAGAGATGTCCACTCTTGCCACTGTTATCCAACATAGTATTGGAAGTCTTAGCCTTTGCAATCAGACAACACAAAGAAATAAAAGGCATCCAAATTGGCCAGGAGGAAGTCAAACTTTCACTCTTCGCAGATGACATGATACTCTATATGGAAAACCCTAAAGATTCCACCAAAAAACTGCTTGAATTGATTCATGAATTCGGCAAAGTTGCAGGATATAAAATCAATGCACAGAAATCGGCTGCATTCCTATACACCAACAATGAAGCGACAAAAAGAGAAATCAAGTAATCGATCCCGTTTACAATTGCACCAAAAACCATGAAATACCTAGGGATAAATCTAACCAAAGAGGTGAAAAATCTATACACTGAAAACTATAGAAAGCTTATGGAAGAAATTGAAGAAGACGCAAAAAATGGAAAAAGATTCCATGCTCCTGGATAGGAAGAACAAATATTGTTAAAATGTCTATACTACCCTTAAAAAAAAGAAGGTGGGGAGGTGCCTGGGTGGCTCAGTCAGTTAAGCATCCGGCTTCCGACTTCGGCTCAGGTCATGATCTCACAGCCAGTGAGTTCGGGTCCCGCACTGAATTCTGCGCTGACAGCTCAGTGCCTGGAGCCTGCTTCGGATTCTGTGTCTCCCTCTCTCTCTGCTCCTCCCCCACTCACGCTCCCTCCCTCTCTGTCTCAAAGATGAATAAATGTTAAAAAAAATGTTTTTTAAATGTTGATACTACCCAAAGCAATCTACATATTCAATGCAATCCCTATCAAAATAACACCAGCATTCTTCACAGAGCCAGAACAAATAATCCAAAAATTTGCATGGAACCAGAAAAAGCCCCAAATAGCCAAAGCAATCTTGAAAAAGAAAACCAAAGCAGGAGGCATCACAATCCCGGACTTTAAGCTATACTACAAAGCTGTAATCATCAAGACAGTATGGTACTGGCACAAGAACAGACACTCAGACCAATGGAACATAATAGAGAACCCAGAAATGGACCCACAAACGTATGGCCAACTAATCTTTGACAAAGCAGGAAAGAATATCCAATGGAGTAAAGACAGTCTCTTCAGCAAATGGTGCTGGGAAAACTGGACAGCGACATGCAGAAGAATGAACCTGGACCACTTTCTGACACCAGACACAAAAATAAACTCAAAATGGATGAAAGACCTCAATGTAAGACAGGAAGCCACCAAAATCCTCGAGGAGAAAGCAGGCAAAAACGTCTTTGATCTTGGCCCCAGCAACTTCTTACTCAACACGTCTCCGGAGGCAAGGAAAACAAAAGCAAAAATGAACTACTGGGGCCTCATCAAAATAAAAAGCTTCTGCACAGCGAAGGAAACAATCAGCAAAGCTAAAAGGCAAAAGACGGAACAGGAGAAGATATTTGCAAATGACATTTCAGATAAAGGGTTAGTATCCAAAATCTATAAAGAACTTATCAAACTCAACACCCCAAAAACAAATAATCCAGTGAAGAAATGGGCAAAAGACACGAATAGACACTTCTCCAAAGAAGACATCCAGATGGCCAACCGACACATGAAAAAATGCTCAACATCACTCATCATCAGGGAAATACAAATCAAAACCACAATGAGATACCACCTTACACCTGTCAGAATGGCTAACATTCACAACCCAGGCAACAGCAGATGTTGGCGAGGATGCGGAGAGGATCTCTTTTGCATTGTTGGTGCCAATGCAAGCTGGCGCAGCCACACTGGAAAACAGTATGGAGGTTCCTTAAAAAACTAAAAATAGAACTACCCTACGACCCAGCAATTGCACTACTAGGCATTTATCCAAGGGATACAGGTGTGCTCTTTTGAAGGGACATATGTACCCCCGTGTTTATAGCAACACTATCAACAATAGCCAAAGTATGGAAAGAGCCCAAATGTCCATCGACGGATGAATGGATAAAGAAAATGTGGTATATATACACAATGGAGTATTACTCGGCAATCAAAAAGAATGAAAAGTTGCCATTTGCAACCACGTGGATGGAACTGGAGGGTATTATGCTAAGTGAAATTGGTCAGAGAAAGACAAAAATCATATGACTTCACTCGTATGAGGACTTTAAGAGACAAAACAGATGAGCATAAAGGAAGGGAAGCAAAAATAATACAAAAACAGGGAGGGGGACAAAACAGAAGAGACTCATAAATATGGAGAACAAACTGAGGGTTACTGGAGGGGGTGTGGGAGGAGGGATGGGCTAAATGGGTAAGGGGCTTAAGGAATCTACTCCTGAAATCATTGTTGCAGTATATGCTAACTAATTTGGGTGTAAATTTTTAAAAAATTAAATTAAAAAATAAAAATAAATAAGCAAATAAATAAATAAAACCTTTAAAAAATGAAAAAATAAAAATAAAGCCACTCTCCCCTAGTATCCTCTTCACGGCACTCCCACCGGCTGGCACTGTCCTCTGGTTTCTCTGCTGTGCTCTGTGTCATACACACCCTCCCAGCACAGACACGTCTGGTCTGTCGCTGTGCCTGCTTCCACGGCAGGCCCGGAACTGTGAACGCCCGTGGGCGGGGTGGGGCAGGCAGGGCTGGGGCCTCACCTTCCTCTGTATCTTCTCCAGCAGCTTGCTCTTGGCGCGCACCTCCTCCTGGATGGAGTCGTAGACGTTGAGCAGCACCCAGTCCCCGCCGTCCTCATCCGAGTTCTGCAAGGCTGCCACCAGCTGCCTTTTGCGCTCGTCCGCATACCGCTTCCTCCGCTTGTGCCTCTCCTTCAGGTCCTTGTTCTTGGCCTGCTCCCCGCCGACCACCTGCTGCTCCAACAGCTGCAAACTGTCGGGCACAGAGAAGAAAGCACACGTGACGGTATCTGGCCATCGCCGCGCCCTTGCTGTCCAGCGGGACATCTCAGAGTCCATGCAACAACCCGTCGCACAGATGGACACAGGTTCAGAGAGGCCAAGCCTCTGGCCAGGGTCGGAACCAGGGGTCCAAGCAGATCTGCCCAAGTCCAAGCCCGTGTGCTCAACCGCACGACAGCACGGATGAGAATCTCCCTGTGGATCCAGAGCCAACCCACCCGCCACCCGCCAGGGGCCTCCCAGGGCCCATGGTTTTCCCCCAGTACAGCAGGCTCGCAGCCGTGCGCCCCGGCGACCTGCACGATTAGAGTAGCCCTGAGATGGGAACAACATTCAGCGCATCCGGGCAGGCGCTTCATCATCTCCCTCTGCGGCCCCCCAACCAACTCACTCCAGCGTCACTCGCTGCTGGTCCTCCAAACAGCCAGGCTGTCCTCTGCGCTGCACTTTCGTGCTGCCTGGGGCTGTGCCCTGTATCCCAAAGGCCACCCTGAGGCATCTGTCCTGCAAACCTCACTCAGGTGTAGCTGAGCAAAACTACTCGAAGAAACAGAAGAAGCCTTCCCTGACCATCCTCCAGACCACACCCTGAACACCGTCACATGTGCTGAGTGTTCCCTTGGTGCCCGAAGCTGGGTCTCTGCAGGCAGTGTCTCCTTGGACCCTCGTGACGAACTTCTCAAGAAGCCGAGGCACAGGGAGGCTTAAAGTTGGCCCCAGGAGGTAGTGGGAGGTAGTGGTGGAGGCGGACGGGAACCAAGGCAGGCAACTGCACAACCACTTGCTTTGCTTTGCTACAGAAGCTGGCCCTCCCTGGGCCTGGGTATCTGCCTCCCCCTGGACCGTGAGCTCCTTGAAAGCCAAGTCAGCAGCTCGTTCTTCCTTGCGCCTGGTGCCCGGCACGTAGTTGCTGCTCAGTTCACGTCTGAACTGTGGCCTGTGGGATGGAGTTTGCCACCACTAGGAGGAGGCTGAGCCCCTGACCATGGTGCTGACTTTGTCACAGAGGTGGGCCTGACATTATTCACATTCACAGAAGTGAGAACCAAGGCTCGGAAATGTTAAGTGATTTGCACCGAGGGAAGAAAGCCCAGCTCCCCAGGCAGCAGCGGCTGAGGGCGTTTGGGGTGGCCAGTCCTAGGTGTGACATCAGGAGGGCACTGGAGGCGCGCTGGGAGCTGAGGAAAGCCTGCATCATCCTGCCCTGGGATTCCTGAAACCTGATAGCCAGGCCCTGCGGATGCCAGGCAGACAACAGTCCCCTCCCTTCCTCTTGGAGCAGGTGCCTGATGGAGTCTGGTGGCGCCCGTGCGGCTCCCCGAGCGGAGCCCTGCCCGCCCCGCTGATCAGCACCATCCCTGCCCCTCTGCTCCTGGACAGAGGATCGGGGCGTGTCCGGCCTCGGTCAGGAGGGGATCTGGATGGGGGCTCAGTGAAGACTCTCTGGGCACCCCCGCCCCCATGCCCAGGACATAGCTCCGTCCTGCTCCGCCACGGGGTCCCGCCAGCCCCAAGCACCAGCACTTACCGGGCAAGCACCTGCTGCTGGTCCACGGCGGGCAGCAGGTCGTCGCTCAGCACCGCCACCTCCATGCCCACACTGTCCCTTCTCACGCTCGTCATGACCAGCGAGGGCTGAGGCTGAGCCTCCAAGGCCCTCCAGGCCTCAGCCTCGGCCCCGACGCCAGGCTCTGCTGCCGACACCACCTCCCCGGCCATTTCTGGACCCTGGTCAACCTCCTGAGCGCAAAGAGAAACCAAAGTGGAGGCAGAGAAGACGGCCCCTGGACACCGGCTCACAGCGGCCTCAATCCCAGATGGCGGCATCTGGGTCCCTCGCGATCTGGGATGGATCGCTTCTGGTTTGGAGGCACCCAGTTGTACAAAAATGCGCCCAGTTGGGTTCCTACTGCCACCATTTCTTCCAACACCCCGAAACAGTCTTGCTCTTCTGCCCCTGAAGACCCACGCTCTCCACGGCAGCCAGGCAGTTTTCTCCAAATATGTACCAATCCCAGCCCTTTCCCAAAGAGAACCTTTGGGAAAAAACGCAGTGCGTTTGCAGTTAAATCCTGCTTCCATAGCCTTCAGGCCTCCAGTGCCTCTCCCTGCCTCACCCTCCGCCCCCCACCCCCCCGCCCCGCCTCTCTCCACCCCTCACCTGCTGCTTCTCTGGCCTCATTTTCCCATTGCTGAGACAGTCGAGATGTTCCCAGCCACAGGACTTTGGCACAGGCCATCCCCCCTGGCTTGATGCTCTGCTCTGGCCCCTTCCTCCTGCTCGGGTCCCATCTCAATGTCACCTTACAGCCAGGGCTCCCCTAGCCACCCCGTGTCCCATCTACTGAGAACCTGAAGTGTGCCAGCTCCTACCCAGTGATCCTGTCCAGAGGCTGGCAGATAGTTTTCTCTCTCCACACATGTGGGCAGACTTAAAGCCTTCCCCTCACTCCCTGTGGCCTTTTGTGCTTCCTTAAGCAGAAGAGAAAAGGGTGGGGTCTGAGAGCAGCAGTGTTCAAAACAGGACCCGGGCAGTCCCTGCCAGTGCCTGGGGGACCCACGCCCCTGCCCTCAGCACACACTGGGCCTCTGTGCTCTAGATGGGCTTCTGAGGCCAAGGAGAGTCAGAAAGCTGCTAAGCAGTGGCCTCTTAACCACATCAATAATAAGAGATAGGATGGTTCCTCCATTTGTACACCGCTTTGCAACAGGCCATCCCTGATAAGCTGGGGGAGGGCTGGGGTCATTGTCTCTGTTTTGTGGTTGAGGACACTGAGGCCCAGAGTGTCACAGGAAGACCCAGGCTCCTGGGATTCCTCCCCCCACCTGAGGGT